GTAGTACGATTCCTACCATGTATAGCCCTAGAAATCCACATTATATTATCATCTCTTGTAAACACTTTTTGATTATCATCGAATATATAGAATGTTTCACTAACTCGTACTAAGTACAAACATTATTTGTATGTGTGAAACAAACTAACTTTATTCGAGAAATACAAGAAACGAAATTGTGTTAATAGTCAAAGTTTGTGTATAACATGGTATATGTTAAAACATAAAAACCTTTCCTCGACCTAAAACCAAAACTTTGAGCTTTTGGTTGAGGCTGTTCGATGACATTATGTTAGAGCGTTGATGACCAAGAGGTCACGAATTCGAACCTCTCTTCCACCCACTTTTAAAAAAAATAAATTTTTGCGTGTAATGCTAGAGCAAAAATAAATATCGCATGCATATGAGGGACGTGTTAAAGTCTAAAAACGTTTCACGGACCTGAAATCACAAGCTTGAGCTTGTTGCTTGAGTTGATTCATTGACATGCAGTATATACCAAGCACAATTCATTGTATAACCCATAGAAAGATGAGTAAATTCCATAAAAGGTCTCTAGTTATACGTCGTTTTACATATTTAGTCCCTACATATCAAAAATTACTAATTTAGTCTCCAATTATTATATTCATATCCACGAATGGTCCTTTGTTAACATTTTCGTTAAGAATGTGGATAAACGTGTAAATTCACACTCCTTTCTCTCTTCAATTAAGCTTCCTCCCTCCCCTCGCACTTCTTTCCCAAGCCCGTCGCTGAGTTTGAAGCTTTGAACCCAAAACGGAAATCATCACTCTTTTCTCAATTATTTGTCTAATTGGTGGAACCCAAATTCGAAGCCAGTAACGTAACCTTCATGGATGAGTTTTAATGTTTATTTTCTTTGCAATTTCTTGAGACTAACTGATAAAACTCATCCATAAAGCTTATTGATTTTAATTTTAGGTTTCACCAGAAAGACTAATAATTGAGAAAAAAATGATCATTTCAGTTTTGGATTTAGAGCTTCAAACTCATTGTATAATCAAATCAAATTAGATAAAAATTATAAAAAATCATATCAAATTAGATGCAACTGTCGAAAAACTATAAATAGGAAAATTGTTCTCAAAAAATGGGGTCAAAGCATAGCCAAGCATGACTCATGTTTCAAGGTTGGTGCTTTTTTACAGAAGAGGTGAAGGATATGCTTAAACCTGCCACGATCCAAACAATGTTAAAAGCGTCTCACAAACCATATTTGGTAAGATCTACCAAATACTCCGTAATATAAGTGGCTAACTATCTTCATCACTGCTATTTCTTCTTCTCCACCGTCTGGCTTCTAGGTACTGCGGGGTATTCTTTGGCCCTCGTTTCTGTGTAGACTATAGATAAAACAAAGAATTGGGTAAGCGTGAACAACTCCTTATCAAACAACGTAATAAATATCCCCTGAATTCGGGAATAAATAAAAGAGCCCGGTTCCGTAGCCATTGGATTCCAGTGGCCACGGAAGCCACTGCCCCCCTACGGAGCTCCGTTCATGAAATTGATGATTCCTACCCCCCTAACCCCCTGATAAACCCTCCCGTCAAGTCTCGATCTAAACTACTCCCCCACTAACGTCAATTGCACCTCGTAAGTATAAAGTCAAAAATTTTGACTTTAAAGTCAATTGTACTTACGAGGTGCAATTGACGTAGGTGGGAAAGGTAGTTTGGCTCGAGACTTGGCGGGAGGGAGAGTTTACCGGGGCGATTAGGGAGGATAAGCATCATTAATTTTATGAACAGAGTTTTGTAAAGAGGCAGTGGCTTCCGTGACCACTGGAATCCAGTGGTTACGGAAACGGGCTCTAAATAAAATGGCTAGATGAAATCTTCAAGGGGAATGCTACAGGCACGCCACCATTTAACCCCACTTTAACCCCATATATTTTTTAAGATAATTGACTTTCTTCTCTCCTCTTTAATATCCCTTGACTCCATGTTCTTTCTCCCTCCATCTTCTTCGTCCCTCTCTCTTCTTCTCTTTTTATTTTTTTGTTTCATTTTCAAATGTTATTCTTTAACTTTAATTGTTCTTTACTTCAATCATTAACTGTGATTTTGTTTATTTTCTCTGTAAATTGGCCAATCAAGGTTATTTTTTATTTGATTTAATGTTTGTGAAATTTGTTTCTTAGTATGTGATTTTTTTTATTTGTAGTTTATATCAGTGGCGGATCCAAAAATTCAGTTAGATGGGAGCATTATTATCTAGGGGTGGTGCCCCAAATTTTTTGGCAAACTATTTGAGATGACAAAAATTAATGAATTTTATTTTCAAACATTTATTGAATGTAAATTTTTTTAATGGGTTATGTGAAATTTTATTTTGTAAAAAATTAATTATATGCAATAAAATAAACTTTACTAAAAAAAATTAACAAAAAATTTAAAAAGTCCATTGCTGCTGCTCTTGGGTTTGACAAAATTTAATGGGTCTTAACTTTTACCTCCATTGTTGTTGCTCTTGTCATTTTTGGCAAAAACAGAAGTTTTTTAGGTCAAAACCATGGCAAAAATAAAGTTCTAAAAATGCCTCCCAAAATATCTAAAAATTCGTAGTACAAATTGTGTAATAGGAGCAAAAAATTCAAATACAATACACAAAAAAATTATTACAAAACATTATAATACTTGACAACATTGTTAAAGTATTTGATGCTCATACGGTGAAAACAAAGATGAGAGTTTGGGTAATGATCTAGTGCTTGCAAGGCAGAAGACTTGTTGAAGCAGACAAAATATTTACAATAATTAAAGTAAGGGAGTAAATTGTAAATGGTGCTGCACATATACAGAGAAATAATATGGAAAGTTGTAGGTGTACAACACTAAAAGGAACAACAACATTTCCCTAGTGCTTCAAAGGCTCGTGCCCATTGCAGGGTAAGGGGAGGTCGGATGTTGTTGTTCTTTTTAGTTTCCAAAAATAAACATCTTACATTTCCAAAAATCAAAATGTCAAAGTAAACAAAAATACGTTCCCAAAATGTAAGATGTTTACGTTCCCAAAAATAAACATCTTACATTTCCAAAAATCAAAATGATACATAATTTGCATTACATAATGCTTAAATTGAGATCCAAGTTACTCACAGTGAGGTCAAAAATACCATCTTCACCTTGCGCAGGCCATCTATATTGTTGTTGTGCATGGCGCAAATCCTCCTCTTGGACACGTACACTCATTCCTGGCTCCCCAAAGGCTTTGTTATTCGCTTTTCGCTTTCGACTCTTTTTCTCGAATGTGGACTTCAATCGATTCTTTCGCGGAGCGCCTTTCCCTTTTGAGGATTTTGGGTCTAAGATGTTTATCACTTGTTCTACCTCGTCGGTATTCAAAGTATCTCCTCGTACTCCTTTAGAGGGTGGACAAATCTTTTGTTGTAATTCCTCTTCGATCAAGTCAATCCACTTCTTTGTACATTCTTCATCATCTGCAAGTCTGTTTGCCAATTCCTGAAAGTAAAAAAATACCTTGATTGAGCAACCCACTAGTGAACAGGGACGATCTTGTTGGAATTTTTGGCAATTTTAATAGGCATTAAATGGACCAACTTGGGTATATTTATCAATAGGTCCACTAACGGTTTTAATCGTTAATTAATGGACGTGTGTTCTCTTAAATGAGATAAATGTTTTGATAATTTATACGTCAAAAATGGTAGAGGGTGAATGTGAAATTGATTCTCAGAGTTAACTCGTTAATAAAAGAATATGGTAAGGATTGCAATTTTTTGCAATTTTACTGAGTCAATCTTCTATTATTAATTTTACGTATTGTTTAAAATTAGTCCTTTTTACGGAGTTAACTGGACATTAATCTCCAATTATTCGGGACAAATTTTAAACGGAGCGTAGCGTAACGGACGTGTTAATGACTAATTAATCACCATTAACACGTCATTATTGTGCCACAAATGCCATGGATTAATGATGTAGGAGTTACACTTTTTAAAATTCCTTAGTTATAAATATCAAGGGCTCTCCATAGTGTGGTGTATTTTTTGTGTGCCTTGCGTGAGGAAGAGAGAAAGAAAAGAGAAAACACTTTATTATTTTCTTTTAGGGAGAGCTCTTGATTTTCCGGCCAATTTTTCCGGCCATCCCCTTTAAAGGTTTTTGTCGCCAACATTCCTACGTTGTTCTTGTTCGTTGGTGTGTGGTTGGTCCGTACAATCTCCACACACGATAGCGGTTTTATCCTGGGAGGAGAGTGCCCACGTTTTCCGGTACGGTAGGCGGGCACTACTACCTTAAGGACAGCTCCGGCGACTCCGCTGTCCTTCCACGGTGTTGTGTTTTTGCAGGTTCAGTTTATAAAGACCTCGCTGGATTCTGCCCTAATGCATAATGTCCTCGCAGCCCAGTGCATAATGTCCTTGCTGTCCAGTGCATAATGTCCTCGATGTCCAGTGTTTAATGTCCTCATACAACAAGGTTGTTTGAAGATATATAAATTTATTTTCAATTCTGTTTATCTTGTAATATTCTGAATAAGTTATAAATTCAGAATTTTATTTATTTTTATTTTCTGAGGCCGTTCATTTTCCCCGTCCGTTGTAATCCGTACAAAAATTGTAACAGATCTATGACGGCGAAATTGGGACGATTGATTGTGGCGAAGAGGGGACGATCGATTGCGGCAAAGAGGAATGATCGAAGATGGTCGAAGGGATGAAAGGAGACACAATCGCAGTTAATGATTGAAGTAAAAAACAATTAAAATTGGAGCATGAAATCTGAAAATGAAATTAGAGAAAAAAAAAAAAGAGGACGACAGAGGGATGAAGAAGGTGGTGAGAGGAAGATGGAGGGACTGCAATTGTGGAAGAAGAGAAAGAAAGTGGTCAATTATTAAAAAATTAAAAAAGAAAAAAGAGGGATATATATATGGGGTTAAAGTGGGGTTTGTTTGGTGGTGTGCATATAGCATTTCCGAATCTTCAAACAGAAAGCAAAATAGGCCAACCCATTAGGGGGACAAGCAGTCCTACCGGGTGGGGCCCAATAATTGGAAGGGCCTAAAATCTGAAGAAAGCCGAAGTAGCCAAACGCCCAAACCTACGAACGGAAATTGAAGAAAGAAGTCGCCGAAAGAGAGTCGCCGCCGACTGCCAGACGCCGCCGCCCGCCTGCACGCTCCACTTCTCCAGAGTCTAGCCGCTACCCGCCAGACGCCGCCGCCCGCCTGCACGCTCCACTTCTCCAGAGTCTAGCCGCTACCCGCCAGACGCCGCCTCTCTGGAAACTCTCCAGCCTCCAAGTCCAGGAGTCTAGGTACGGAGGTAAAAATACCAATTTTAGAATTTCTTTAAGAATTTTACAATTTGTTATTTGAAAATCTTTAATCTTTATAAATTTGTGTGATGAATTTGTTATGATTTTTTTCTGTGAATTTGACAATTTATTTTATGAATTTGTCATGTGAAAAATTGAAAATCTTTATTTGAAATTTTTGCTAATTGTTATGAATTTGTTGTGAAAATCTGAAAATCTATTAATTTAATAATCTGAAGATCTGTTTTTTTTCTTTTTGGAAATTTAAAGTTTGTATTTGTGCATTTGATTTCACTAAGATGTGATCAACCAATTTGCTCTCAAAAATGCAAGGAGAACTTTACGAATTCTCGGCTAGCTTTTACAGTATGTAATTACACTACTATGATATCATTTACTTATTTTCTTTTCATAATATTGGGTTAATTGTCATTTAAATAAGTTTACATATTTTAATTGTTTAGACCAATAGGGAATTAGAGATAAGACTTCTAAGGCCTTTTTTTCCTGTCTCGGCTCAGGCCGTTGAAGTCTCAGGATTGGAAAATGTATAAAATTGATGTTTTGTTACTCAATTTTGGGCTGGGATGGGCTTCAATATTTATACTCAATTTCCTGTCTCCACTTTCTTCTCTCTTTCCCGACCCTAGCGCGGCTCTTCATCATTTTCGAATAAGGTTGAGAAAAGGTTTGATTACAATTCCCCTCTCCAGCAATTTACTCTTAATTTGCGATATATGATTTTCTATTAATTTATTTCTTTATTCTATATATGTTTTAGGTGCTTTTGTTTACCAAAATCTTTGATCTATTCCCTTGTTGTCGGATCTATACATGCTAAGTGTATATTCTCAATTTATATGTAGATCTTTATATGTGTGTGTATATATATACCCAAAAAAGAAGTGATGCAGGAGAGGGATGGCAGTTTATTGAGAGCGCGGTTGCCTCCCTCTCCTCTGCATATGATTACCCCATGCCCCTTCGAAACAGCCCTTTTAACTTTCTTCTAAGCGGGAAAGTTGCTACAGAGTAATAAATAAATAAACAAATGCAAATTACAGAGTATATTTTCTTGTTGTCGTTATTACTATTATGGGTTGAACTATGAAGAGATTGTGATGATATGGTTTTGTGGTGTTTTCTCTTTTGGGGCTACTAAATTTTGAGACATTTGGTGAAAGGATCCGTATCTTGGCAGGGCGACCTGGGAATGGACCCGGTTGTTGCAGCCATGGCAATATCGCCTTTCTATTTCCCTCTGGAAATACAGATCTGAGCCTCTTTAAAGCCTCTTATATATCTATGTATGTGTGTGTCTATATATATATATATATATATATATATATATATATATATATATATATAATTAAATACTTCGAGAAAGAGAGAAGAAAGTGTAGCGGCGGAAATGAAATCAACGGTGGTAGATTATATATATAACTTCAACTGAGTTACTTTAATTTGTGTTTTAAGGGTCTGCAACTCTTGCTTAAGGGCATAGCATGATTTCATAATATATATATATATATATATATATATATATATATAATATTAAACATATATATAAATGGAAAATTGTTTTATACATATGATTATATAGCATGGTAGTCAAACTCTAGATTCTACTTAGGATCAATAAGCGTGATGAAGATCGTAACATCGTAAGATCAAGACTCGGATCGTAAGATCCTACTATATGTGTGTGTGCGTGTTAATTACTATAAATTTTAATAAAACATAACACAAGTTCAAGTTGGATCACAAATGACTTAAAACTTTATTCTTAAGCATCTAAAACCTAATTATCAATGCTAAAATTATAGTAGAAGCAGATAGATAATAGCCTGGAATTGGAAGGGAGTCGCGACAGACACAGCGTTTTGGTCTTTGGGAGTCGCGACAGATGCGACGTTGCGAATTCAAAGTCGCAATTGGAATTGGATTTTGAAGCGACACTGCTTTTTGGTCTTTGGGCTTCTCACAATCGCCGATCTATTGCGATTATGCGATTGCACGAGCGATTCTAAAGGCGAGTTGGATCGGAAAGGTGCTGGCGATCTTTGGACTCGTTGAATTGTACGAGTCAGATCGCGATCTTGACTACCATGTTATATAGCCTTTTGATACCTATATTTTTAAGGGTCATTCCTGAAAATTATTACTTATGAATAATTAAATGAATATAGCCCATTTAGAAAATGCCAAATGCACTTACGGTCATTGGGGCAGTTCTGAGAAGTGTACAGGGAATCAAAGTGTACTGGAAGACACTTGAATTGGATGAACTTATATATATAAATACTTATAAATATATGTACTTTTAAACGTATATATAAATGGTACTAGCATTTTACGCACTATGTGCGTGGGTGCCCAAGTTTGGTCTTATAAAAGTAGAGTGAAGACATGGTCTTTGTTAAAGGAGTATTTTTTAGAAAATTCCCACAAAGGAGCCTTGATAGTTAAAGTGTAGTTTACTTACACACATATATAGTTAGTTTCAAAATGCCTTCAAAGGGAACTTGGGACCAATTGTGACCATACGTTAAAATTGAAAGAGTGCAAAAAAGCTAAATTGAATGTATACAACCTTAAACATCTTTAATATGAAGGGCAAGAGTAGCATGCTCAGGCTGTTTTGGGATTTCATTATTTGCATGCTTCTCCTTTTCGCGGGCCTCGTGAGTCGTGATACCTAAGTGAACCCCAAAAGTTCCGTTGTTCGCGTTGTTAGTCTTCATGGAAACTAAGTACATCAAACATAAACTAATTAACTAGAAAAAGATAGTTTGTCACCCTTAAATCTTTGTACTTAACCAAGCATTACGAAAGCTCTATAACAGTGAACCAATAAAGGGTGATCTAATAGAAAAATTATTTATTTCCAAAAGTAAGTTTAAGGGGCTGTTTGGCAACTTCTGAATAGGCAAGTGCTGAACCAGTAAGAGGTCTGAACCATTAAGTGCTGAACCAGAACCATTAAGTGCTGAACCAGTAAGAGGTCTGAACCATTAAGAGCTAGTATATTGCTTAACTATTCAGAGACAAATGTCTGATCAATTCAGATAAGAGGTCTTAACCATTCAGACTCTGTATAGTACTTAACCATTCAGAGGCAAATGTCTGAACCATTCAGACATCTGAACCATTAAGAGGCTGAAACAAACAATCTGAACCAGAGGCTAAAACAAACAGCCCCTAAATGTATTTATTCATTTTGTTTGTAAATTAAAATATAAGTATTTTGAAATAAGAACATAGCAAGAGGTTTTAAAAGAACCCTCACACACCACGTGCAAAAAATTACAGGGTGCCTTTCTTTACTACTCTGTACTATTTTCGTTCAAATTGATTTCATGTTCAGATGGTTGTTTCTTTAATCTTGATTGTAATTCGAATCAGAATTGTTACCTCTTCATTTTAAAACCTTCCTAATTTTGAATTGTTATGATATTTTTAGGTTTAAACAAAAACAAATGTAAAAGAAAAATCTAATGATATCTGAAATTTTCAGAATTAATTAATTAATCAGAATTAGGATCAGTCTTTCAGCTTCTTTATATCAAATCATTAATTTGTAGAATATTATCTAGGATATATCAAATGAATATCAATTCACGAACAAAAACAACGTAAATTACTAACTGAGAAGGGTGGAAGTGCTTTTAAACTTTTTCCGCAACCTTTCGAGTTCAAGCTTTGGGTTGTCTTTGATAATGGAACTTGGAATGTTAAGTGCACGAAAACATCTTAAAATCGATCGAGGCAAACAAGAAGTGAACAACAGATACAAGTCACAAGAAAGTTTCACTTTAATAATTCAAAGTTCATAATAATATTTAGGTGTGGCCGTGTGGGGACTTACCAAGCAGCTGGTGCATGAGCTTGGAGAGTGGAACAACAAGAACTCTAGAGTCACCTATGTTTAGCATTAGAAAGCAAACCCAAAACAGCGACCATTAAAAAAAATCATGTATTTAAATGTTATTTAAATCAAATATCTCCCAAGATTAACGGTGAGTGCAGCTGCTACATCAGTTGGACCTCTAAAATATTACTCTGTAAAAGTTTCTATAAGTTGAAATGATTTACTCTTCTTAGCCAAAATACATTACCATTCTGAACAAATTGGAAAATTGCATTACATGATAACTAGGGGACACTCTTGTTTGGATTCTTTTCACCAAACAAGAATCTCCCTTGTGGATTCAATCCCTTACTTTCCACTACTAGAGTAATTTGGTGAAAAGAAAGGTTCATATTTGTACACCTGACAAGGCGTTTACAATTATCAACAGTGAGACTGAGGGTTGCTGTTTCCAAGGCAGCCCAGAAAAAGTAGTATGCAAGTTTTTTTGAGAATGTAAAGATTGTTGGCTAGTGTGGTACTGTTATGGGGGATGAATTTATTTATTTATATAAGTTAAAACACTGTTGTATTTTACGTAGTATTTGACCTTTTAATTTGTCTGCTGGATCCCGAATCTTTTAACTTGTGTTATTCATTGATATGTACTGAAATTGGAGGATAAACTGTTCCTAAAAGTCTCTTCCTTTTGTGTAGAGATAGATTCACATAAAGACAGTTGAGTATACAACGACTGGAAACCATGGGAAAAGCCAAATCCCAAAAAGATAAAAATCATAAAATCCAGCGCTGGGAGTCAGAGATTAACGAAATCAAGCTCCTTGAAGAATGGATTGATTCGGGGAAACCCGAGTGTGGTGTAAACCCACTCTCGATTGAACCATTACCTGATGAAGCTCCAGTAGGCCGGCAAGCGGACGGGTCATTCTCCAAGTATGTCGGATGCACAAGATTCCGTCAACTGCCTCTGTCGAAGAAGACCCGTGACGGACTGGCTGGAGCTAAGTATAAGATTATGACTGATATCCAGAGGGCTTCGCTGCCCCATGCGCTTTGTGGTCGTGACATTCTTGGTGCTGCCAAGACTGGATCTGGAAAAACTTTAGCTTTCGTAATTCCGGTGAGTTTTTTTGTTAATGCAATATGGCCTCACGATTTTCCCTTTATGTTAGTTATGGGTCATTATGATGGAAAAACAAAGTCAAACTTGCTTTTAGACAATCATTTTCATACTTAAATATCAATGTGTGACCCAATAATAGCTCAGGTCGTTCTAAAAATATAATTAATAAGAAAATGAGAAATTAATGCTAAATTCGGGTCCACTTAGAGCATGTTCTTTAGGGTTGGAAAAGAGAGTTGGATGTTGGAAGGAATAGGAAGAAACTTGGAAAAACTGGATGGAAATGGAAAAAACTTGGAACAAACTAGAAGGAACTAAAAGACTAGAAGGAAATAGAAAAAAATGGAAAAATCTAGATCAAATAAAATAAAGTATTAATTTTTTATTAGTTAATTCACGGTAGTCAAATTCGCGATCCGGATCGTACAATTGTACGATTCCGCAGATCATTGGGCTCTTTCCGATCTGAATCACGGCTAAAATCGCATCCTCTCTGAGAATCATACGGATCAACGATTAGGATCATACGATTGCTGAGTCGCGTGAGATCATCGATCGAAAACAGAGAGGGATCAACATGCGGAAATTGGAAACACTTGGTTTCGTCCCCTCGGTTTTTATGTCTTGACCTCTTCCCAAGGACTGTTCCCTGTTTTTACGGCTACACTCAACGTCTCTCCTCACAAAATTAAGGGTTTCTATTTGTCACTTTTTAATTTTATATTACTCCGTATGTTTTTTTCCTTTTATGCTTCATTCTATCTTCATCTAGTGGGGGGTGGGGGGGGTTAAAAAAATCTAGTTGGCAGTGGTTTTTTGGCCAAGTTTTTTTTTTATTATTACCTTTCTCATTATGCTTTTTATAAATTTACTCCCTTCATCCCGAAAGGATTGCCACAGTTTGACTTTTTTGGTCAAACTATGGCACTCTTTGACCACAATTTGAATATAGTTTAAAATAATTAAATGTTATAAAAATTTGATATTTCTAAACTATATTTTAAAATAAACCAAATTTACTAAATTTACATTATATCTAAATATATTTTTTCCATAATTCATGGTCAAACGGTGCCACAATTTGACCAAAAAAAGTCAAATTGTGGCAATCTTTTAGGGACGGAGGGAGTATTTGTCCCGTGTTTGTTGATATCCGGCAGTGGGCAATGAATTTATACACCATTTATATTGGGCCATGTTTATTATTTTTGTCCAACATTTGTTTTGATACACACACACACACACACACACACACACTCCCTTCCGTCCAACAATAAAATTCTCGTTCATTATTCACAGGGTCAAACTTTATTCACTTTGTTGGCCTATTTTTGTGTCCTATTTGATAAAATAATATAGTCATGTCACTTCTAGAGTTTTGTAGATCTTTTAATAGAGTTTTGACCCTACTATAGTGGGATTCAACTGAGTTGTTGTTGTTGTTAATATAGTTTTTAAATATGCAATTTTAATTTTTTTATCCATACCATTTTCATATAAAATGATATGAAAATAACCTCAGTCAAACATCAACGGGGATTTTATTTAGCTCAGCGGTGAGATGACGTCAAGCTCACCACATTACACTACAAAGTTCACCAATGGCCAATACAAAGCTCAACTGAAATAAAACAAAGCTCACCACTTTGAACACCAAAACTCATCATTTTAAAAATTAAAAAAATAATTAAAAATAAAATAGCAACACCGGTCAGGAGCAGCATTCAACGACTGCAAGTGGCAGTGGAGCAGCAGGTGGTGGTCAACGGTTAAAATCTAGTCAGCACCCCTTTGATTTTATTTTTTTCAAAAAAAATTCAAAGTGTTGAAAAAATATAGTGAGCTTTGACTTACAGTTTGGTGAGCTTTGTAGTTGTCTTTGGTGAGCTTTGTGTCTTTTGACCGTAGCATGTATCTCACTGTAAGGTGTCATCTGAATGGAGTTGATCCCACATATATATATATATACACACACATATTTACATATATATATATATATATATATATTATATGTATATATGTATGTATGTATGTATATGACGTTCCTAGTTACGAGCTTACGAGTTACGATTTTACGTAGAATCTGGAGTTTGACTACCATGGTTCTATTTTCATTACTAGTTTTATTCTTCGCTATCTGAATTTAGTTTTTACACATTTTTTTGGTTCATTTTCTTTTTATAATGCAGTAGTATGATTATTAATTTCTAATTTCTAATTTTGATTTTTCCAAGTCAGTTTAGATTAATTCAAATATCTCTTTTATGGTTAAATTTCACAAATGGTATATGAACTTTGAGCGGAAATTTACTTCGGTTTACAAACTTCAAAACCTCTCACAAAAGTTTGAGAAAATAACACTTCTTTCACCAAAAGTCCTTTACCAGGTTTCCAAAGGACCATCAGGTCTTTTGAGGCCAAAATATAATTTTATAAATTTAAATTCTCTTTTTTTCCCTTTTTTAATCTTCTCCATTTTTTCTCCATCTCCCAATCCACCTTAGCACCCTCCCACCCTTTCCTCTCATTTTTCTTTTCTTCTTATCCAACCCCCAACCGCACCCAATCCAGCCACCCCTAAAAGCCCCCCATTTTTTTCTTCTTTTCTTTTTCTTCTCCCTTTTTTCCTTCTCTCCTCACAATTTATATTATACAACCGGCTATATCGTGGTCACTACTGTGCCAAAGCTCTTTTGGTCTTGCGCTGCCAAAGCTCTTTCAATCGTCGCTACATTTGTTGCCAGCGGCATTGGCGGCTCGGTGTGCCGCTACTCGCCACTCTTGCTCGAGAAAGAAGACAGAGAAAGTTGGCGTTGGGTGATAATTATGGAGTACTAAACTCCTATTCATTTATTTTCCTCTCATTTTCCTTGTTGTTCATACAAAAAGGAGTACTAATAGCACACTCTTTTTTCCTTACTTATTTAGGGAGTATTTACTATTATGATGATGATGATGATGAAAATAATAATAATACGGTGGGGTTCTAGTGACACCGGAGTACAATGACATTC